TTTCTTTTCCAACCCCCTTCTTCCCCTTCGTGGAAGGGTTTATCAATTTTTCCCTAGTGATACACTCCCTCCCTCAGGCGACCAGCAGCCAATCAGGAACAATGCCGACCTGGTGATCACCCCCCCAAACCATCCCTAACAAAAAAAATGCAAAACACACTCTGCCTCCAAATTCGAGGCATGCGCATCATTGCGCAACCAACCCGATGCGCCCCCCCCCCCCCCCACTATCCCTGTCACACATGAGGGCAGAGTCTTGAGTCATGTTCGTGAGGCCCGCGAGCACTTTGTATCGTTTTTTGACAGGGACGGCGGGGGTGCCAGCATATTGCCTGCTGTGCGCAGGGCCACCATCCCCGTCAAAAACAATAACAACATCTACCTCTCGGCTAAACCTGGATCATGCGCGGCCACCCCGCGATCACTGTCAAGTGGTTCTTGTCAGGGACGGCGGCGGGGAAGGCGTATGGCCTGCTGTGCGCAGGCCCACCAGACACAATGATGGGCAGTGGTTTTCGACAAGGATGGTGGGGGCCGACATGTTTCCCGATGTGTGCTGTCACGTGCGCAGGCACACCTGACACACTCTGCACGTGCCCCGAGCGTGGCGCATCTGGTTCGGCTGGAGTGTGCGGCACACCTGGCGCACGTGGAGCACGTGGCGCATCTGGCGCACCAGGCGTGCCTGGCACGCTCGGGCACCAGGGGTGCCTGGCGCGCGTGGCGCGCCTGGCACGCCTGGCGCACCTCGCCCCAGCGTCGCGCACATGGGGCCGGTGTGGGTTTCCAGATGTTTCCGCTAGCTGCCCGTCCAAAGACAACCTCTGAACATGCTGAGGCTCGGGTGTTGCTATGTGTTGGGAGGGCGGATGGGAGTGAGCTAGACGGCTCGCTATCTAGGAGGTCTTGACCCCTCCCCCATACCTCCTCCCCTGGACCTGGACGGGGCGCTCCGCGAGGCGTTGGAGCGCCCAAGATGGCCCAGAATCTCCAAGAGGGCCTCCCAGAGTCCAAGCTGGCCTCCAAGATGGCTCCCAATATGCTCCAAGAAGCCTCAAGACCGCTCCAAAACGTGTCCAAGTGGCTGGAGAGTTCCCCGAGGAGGCCTGAAAGAGGTCAAAATCCTACTAAAACCAAACATGAAAATCAATGTTTGTTACTTTCTCACCTTTCCGCTTCCGATGGCCTTCCTAGGCCTCAAGATAGCTCCAAGATGGCCCAAGAGGGCCCCGAGACGGCCCCAAGAGGGGCCCAAGAGAGCCCTAAGACGGCCCCAAGAGCGCTCCAAGAGCGCCCCAAGAAGCGATTTTAGGCACCCTAGAAGGGCAGTGCTAAAAAAAACTCCCCTCTTGTTGTATCGATGTTTTCCACGATGATTCCAATAGCGCCCCTAAAGCTCCCAAGAGCGCCCCGAGTAGTCACCAAGACGCGCCCAGACGGCTCGAAGAGGCACCCAAAGGGCCTCCAAGAGGTTTCCAAGACCCCCAAGAGACCTGAAGAGGATCCCCGAGGCACCCAAGACGCTCAGAGACGGCCCTGGGCCCGCCAAAATGCCCCCCCCTGACGCCCCTAGGGGCCCCCGAGACCGCCAAGAGGCATCCAAGACGGCCTAGGATGCCTCCAAAACAGCCCCGGGGCGTCCAAGATGTTTCTGGCCTTCTGTTCGCTCTCTTCCTTTGCATGCTTCTCATCTGCCTTTTCCTTCTCTTTCTATATCCTCCTCCTCCTCCTCCTCCTCCTCCTCCTCCTCCTCCATTTCCTCCTCCATCCTCCGCCTCTTTCGGCAGATAACGGCTGCCCTCTATCTGACTCATTTCTGGATGGGCTGGTGGGGATAGTTTTTTGGGTTGCGGCCGCAGGCGAAAGCGCAAGCGGCGAGTCGTAAGTCCGGGGCGCGGGCCTACCAATTGACAACAGGAGCGAAGTAGAAACTGGTGGGGGTATTTTTTTGGGTCGCGGCCGCGAAACAAGCATCAGGCGGCAAGGGCAACGTCCGGGCCACGGGCGAGGCTAAGTGGCTAAAGCAGAAGCGCCGGCCGGCCCCCTCAGACGGCAGCTGCAGGCTGGGTGACGCTGAACTGGCTGGCGTACTGCAAGCGCGGGCACGCGCACTGGACAAAATGACCAGAATTCAACAGGGGTGAGTCGCCGATGTGGCGCCAGACTCCAAACGGACGACCTGCGTAAGCCAAGCCGGCTGAGCAGTCGTGAACCGTGGTGCAGCGCACCAGGGGGGGTGAAGGTGGGCCTGAAAGGCTGCCATGACGCTGAAGGCTGAACCACTCAGCACACTGGTCAGCCCCACTTGGACCGCCTCACAGTGTCGGGGGGTACAGTGCGACTGTGACACATCCAGCGCGCGCCGACACGGTGCGGCCACTGGGAGTGGGGGAGCCCGCTGGCGTGGTGAGCATCGCCGGCGAATAAAGAGAAGGGGTGTACTGGAGTGGAAGTACCGCGATGCGAGCCGGACCGGTCAGAGGGTCTACGGGAGCACACGCTGAGCAATACCTCGAGGGCACGCGGCGTAGGTACGGGCGATGTGGTGTAGTCGCAAAGCGGTGTGCCGGGGGGGCTGCATAGTGAGAGCTGGTGGGGATACTTTTTTTGGTCGGCGGCTCCGAGGCAACGGTCTCGAAGCGGAAGCAAGCGAAGCGAAGCGTCAACACTTTCTCGCAATTGTTTGCAGGGCTGTGATTTCGGCCCTTGTCTCCGCCTAGCGAGAAAGATGGCCGCTTTGTTTCTCTTCGTTCTGGGTCGTTCGCGCGGGCCTGGTGCGGCAATGACTGCAATCCTCCTGGAGATCTGTGTGAGCTTTGGGGGAAGCCCAGCCAAGGGTTGGGAATTAGGTGTTGGCCATGCGGAACGGGGGGGGGCGGCTCTTTAATAAGGAGAAACGGTGTGCAAATCAGTCGGGAGTGCGCACACCGTGCTCGATGCCAACCGTCACTTTCCATGGCCGCTTGCTAGAGCTAAGATGGCGGGGGTCACCATATGGACCATATCGTCCGACGTGCGTCGTCACGTGCACCGGCACCCTCGGCGTGCGTCGCACAACTGGCGCGCTTCTCGGACGTGGAGTACATTGTGCTTACGTTCGAGCGAGGAGGGCGGAGGGGACGGGGAGGGGGAGGAGGAGGAGGAGGAGGAGGAGGAGGGAGGAGGAGGAGGGAGGGGGAGGAGGAGGAGGAGGAGGAGGAGGAGGAGGAGGAGGAGGAGGAGGAGGAGGAGGAGGGGAGGAGGGGAGGAGGAGAGGAGGAGGAGGAGGAGGAGGAGGAGGAGGAGGAGGAGGAGGAGGAGGAGGAGGAGGAGGAGGAGGGGGCATACCTGGCAAGCCTGGACCACCCGGCGTGCGCGGGGCGACCTCGGCGCGCGCACCGCGCGTGCGTGCCTGGCTCGACCCCCGCGTGCGCGGCACACCCAGCGCACCCGGAGCACCCCGGGCGCTCGGCGCGTCGGGCGCGGCCGGGGGCACGCGGCGAGCGCGGCACACCTGGCGTGCATGTTTTTTTTGCCTTGTCGCCATTTCGTCTCCGCTCCAATGCGTCACTAGCCACGGGGCCTCAATCGCCACCCCCACAGCTCCGGAACCGGGTACTGCGAGAGCACACCTGGCGTGCATCTTTGGTATCGACGGTTGTCCGGTAGACGGGGCACCTGCCGGTGCTGAACCTCGGGAACTGCTCTGTAATTAAGGGCGGGTGGGGTTCGGCGAAGCACCCTGCGGCTTTCGGCTTGGGGAGTTGGCCCCGGTCTCTGCCCCTCCTCCGCTCCTCCTTCTGCTCTCCCCATCTCCTTCCTCTTCCTCTCTCCCTCTCCTCTCCCTCCCTCCCTCACTCCTTCTCCCTCCTTCTCTCCCCCATCCTCACCCTCCCTCCCTTCCTCCTTGATTCCTCCCTGTCAACTCCTCGTCCTCCTCCCGGCCTGTTGTAGCCCAATCCATCGCAAGTCTCGTCGCAAACCTTACCGTTAGCACCTGGCTCGGACAACAAATCTAGCGGGCGAAACTTGTCCGTGCGAACCCTTGCGCGCCTTCCTCTTCCCCTCTCCTCTTCCTTGGCCTCCCTCATTCCTCGTCCTCGTCCTCGTCCTCGTCGTCGTCCTCCTCGCGGGCCGCCCATAATGGTCACGTTCAGAAATTGGCTAAAGCGCCTGAAACACACAACAACAAAAAAAAAACTGATGGTTGCCTGCATTCCCAGAACACATCTGGCCAGGATGGCCATGAGCTCTTCTTCGGGGGACAACTTGTCCAGTTTCACCTTGACTCGGGCCCGCTTCCCTGTCCTTCTCCTCCTCCTCCTCCTTTTCCTCCTCCCCCCTCCCTCTCCTCCTTCTCCTCCTCCTCTTCCTCCTCCTCCTCCTCCTCCTCCTCCTCCTCCTCCTCCCCCTTCTCCTCCTCTTCGTCTCCCTCCTGCTCTTCCTCCTCCTCCTCCCTCCTCCCTCCTCCTTCTCCCTCCTCCTCCCCCTCTTCATCCTCCTCCCTCCTCCTCCCTCCTCCCTCCCTCCTCCCCTCCTCCCTCCTCCTCCTCCTCCTCCTCCTCCTCCTCCTCTTCCTCCTCCTCCTCCGCCTGCTATCCCTGCAGACACATACTCCACGGGCGTGGCCCCCCTGCGACCGGGCACGAGAATCTGACACGCCAATCCTCAGAATCTGGCTGGGCGTGATGGGGCGACCACTCGCGCGGCGCGAAAGCGCATTTCGCCTCGCGCTCTCGCGCGGCCACCCTGGCGAAGGCAAGCTCTACGGGCCCAGACCGCGAGCCGCGAACCGCGGTCATCTTCGCGCCACTGCGGGTGACCCAGCTGCGTGGCGTCTCCAGCGGTCGTGCCTCGAAGAGAAGCACGCCGACCCATCGCGCACGAATGCGTTCAGATTCTGACGCCTCAGCGTCAGAATCTGAAGGCCTGGACCCTCCGGTGGTCAGCTGCTGCAGCGTTACCGCAGATACCTGTCCTGCGTCCTCTCCACACCCGGCAGCGGCGCGGCGGCTCCGCTCCTTGACCGCGGAGATGGTCGACCACGAGCAATCCTGCCGGTCGTCGAAAATCCGATCGCCCGCAAAACCGAAGATCGTCTGAGCTGGAAGGGTGCCTCGCACTCGCTCGGCACTACGCTGGCGCAACGACGCCCAGGGAGGCTTGGCTCCCAGCAGTGAGGGTTGTCCTGCCAGAAGTGTGGTCGTCGATCGGCAGGCCGACCGGGACAGCTGGGCGATTGAACATCACGTGCTTAATGATGTTTCACGTGACGTTGCGCTGCAGTGTTGCATCAAGTAGGGAAACGAACTCTATACACCGACGCTTTTCCCGACCCTGCCCGGAAATTCGCACAGGAACGCGGATTCTGGTGTATACGGGATCCTGGTGTATACATTTTTCGGTGTTTCCCTTGGAAAACGGGGGAAAAGTATACACCACACCACCCACCCCGACGTCGTCCCTGACCCTTAAAAAGTCGTGGGATTGAGAATCTACCCGCCACTGGTAATGTATATGCTCCAGTTTGCGATCAAGATCGCGAGTGGGGCCCAACAGAACTACGAGAGGACCACAAAAAGGCACTGGGTGGCGTTTCAGCGGGGGGAGAGCCGGCCTCCAGGAAGCCGTCAGAAAGAGCGCCCTGGGAAACGGGGGAGCTGACCCACCAGGCGAGCAAACCGCCCGGGACATTCCCACAGCCTGGGCGCGAACGGGCAAGTGTTCCCCCTCCCTGGCAGCTCGCCCCAGGGGGTGCCAAAGTACAGCGCCCTCGCGGTGGTCACGGGGCTCTCCAAGGAAAGGACTGGGGCAGGGGGGGTTCAGACAAGCAAGCCGCCTGGCACATCCACACAATCTGGGCGCGAACGGGGAAATAGAGAAGGAGGACGAGGAGGAGGAGGACGACGAGAACAAAAATGACAACTGTGTCACGTCAGAGTCCCCCTCCCTGGTCGCGGTAACCAATCCAGGAGGGCCCACAATCTCACCGCCCTGCGATGTCGCGGTGATAGAAGAATATGGGCTGCCTGACATGCGAACCGCTCGATACATCCCCGCCAACTGGCCGCGAACCGCTAGAGACATCTCAACAAGCCCCTCCCTAACGTCTCCTCCGCGCGGTGCCGTTATGCCACGCCCGCTATACAGCGGCGCTCATGAATCGCTCAAAGAAGAAGTATCGGAGGCGCCGAGACAGGCAAACAATCCGAGACAGCTCTGCAATCGGGGCGCGAACGGGGACACGAAGCCATGCCAGGCGGCTCCTCCGTGGGGTGCCCGGATGCCACGCCTGCTGTACCGCAACGAGCACGAGGCTCTCAAGAAGGAAGGGACTCTGAGCAACCAAACGAGCAGAACTGCCTGAAGCACCCACCAACCTGGGCGCGAACGGGGACTTGAAACCACGTCCAGGGGGCCCCTCCTTGGGGTGCCCAGATGCTGCGCCTCCAAATCGCAACAAGCATGAGGCTTCCAACAGAGAGGGGATCTCGATTCTGAGCAACCAAACAGACACACCGCCAGAAACGCCCCACGATCTGGGCGCGAACGGGGGAACGGCACCGCCTCCGGCGGCCCCTCCTCGGGGTGCCCCCCGACGCTGCGCCTGCCACAGCGCGGTGATCGCGGGGTTCTTGAGAGAGGGAGGGGTCTGGGCGAGCAGACATGAAAGGGGCCCCAGGACACACAAATAGATACACACGCGAATAACAGGATTCCCCATATGTTCCCACATCTTCGGGGTTTTCGTCTTCCCCCCACTTCCCACATTTTCCCATATTTTCCTCGGAATCGGCGATTCATTGTCGGTGTGTTTTTGTTCCCTCCTGAAAACAGGCAAACCGCCTGAGACATCCCCACGATCTTGGCGCGAGCGGGGAAACTGACGCCACCCCTGGCCGCTCATCCTTTTGGGGTGCCCCCGCGCTACGCTTGCGACGACGTGTGTGAATTGGTCTGAGCGTGGGAAAGTCCGAGTGCGACTAAGTGCGTCAGTGAGTGGGTATGTGTGTGAGCGAATATGAATAAGTTATGAGCTCTTCTGAGTGCGAGCGAGTCTGAGTGTGTGTGTGCGTGTATCTGAGCGCGAATGATCGGAAGTATGAATGACTGGGTGTGACGAGTGGGTTTGTAGGTGGGTGACTCTGAATGTGAGCGAGTCTGCATGCGCGCGGTCGGAAGCACGAGTGGCCGCGGGTGATGAATCAACGCAACGGAGAGGAAAGACAGGCTGAGGAGGACAAGGAGGAGGAGGAGGAGGCAGTCAACAACACCAAGGAACAGACAGCACGCAGGCTGACGGCGGAACAAAAGCACTGTATCCCGTTACCACCTCTCTGGCCCTGCCACTCGCCCAGGGCCCCCCAGGTGAGCTGCCCAAGATAGCCTCGGTGCCCCCACCCCCTGCCTCCGTCCTCGCCGCGTCCCCTTTTGCTCCTCCGACTCTTTGGAGAGCCCTCGGCCCGTCTGCGACGGTCGGTACGTCTGACATTCTTTTCACGGGCGAAGAACGGTATAAAATAAACTTCTTCGCTGTCGGGGGCGACAGCGAAAAGGTTTATTTTATACCGTTCTTCGCTCGCTGATTCTTTAGCGGACGGAGACGCTGGGGAATGCACAGTTTCATTTCGATGGTCTCGTGCACACGTTGGCCCAAGCCCCTGCGGTGCTGCCCACCGACGGGCAAAACGACAGCATTGCCGGGAACTGAGTGGACCCCCGAGCTCTTCGGACCCTTGTGGCCATGCCATGCTCAGGTCTGGCTTCGCCGCTGGTGCGCCTGCTGGCCCGCTGCGTGAAGACCAGTGCGCCGCCCGCCGGTTTCGGCCACCAGAAGACGGGTCGCGTGTTCTTCACTCCGTGGCTCACATTTGGGGGATCCCACAGGCCGCCTCGCGCATGGGCCCCAAGCTGGACCCTGGCCAAGGCCTTCTGAGACTCTCGGCGCTGCTCGTGCATGCCGGGTATATTTACGGCGCCGTCGGCATCCAAGAGCACCCCGCTCCTCCTCCCGACCCGCTCCTCCCCAATTCCTGGCTCGTGCCGGAGACGATCCATGTGAGAACGCTTCCTCAAACGCGAGGCACGGTCGACTTTGCCTGGGTTGGCCAGCGCACCTTCAAGGCTCCGAGTGTCAAACCCACTGCTCTTCTGGCTGATACCAGGATTAGGTCGGGCCTGTCTCCCTACAGGCCGATCTTCGAGGGAAAATGTTTTAGTACTCAAACAATACTGAAAACATTGCCCCAAAAAAACATAGTCTCTTTACTATGTTTTGACCATTATTGAATTTTCCTCCTGTAGAGGGACAGGCCTGGCCTCATACAGGGGCGGTGCTACCATCCGAAAGGCTCCGAAACCACATTTTTTTGTCGGTCGGGGTGAAAACGGAACTTTCAGAGCCGCTCCCGCCAAACAGTACCCCTCCCCGTTGCGTGCGCGAGATCTCTGTTCAACCGCACTGTTGAACAATTTCATAATGCCCTTGGCGATCGTGCGCGTTTTTGTATAGGCAACCCTGATGCACTTGCTAAAAACTACTATCATATCTATATGCCGTTGGGCCCATACTGTGAGGGTCATAATTGGGGAGCGTGCGGGGCTGATCTCAGGATTCGGTCGCCTTATAAACCGTTCGCGCAAACGGTTATCCGAAATTCAAATAGTGCGTGGCAAGCAATTCGACTGCCTCAAAATTAAATTTGAATCAAAGCGAACACCAAGACCTACAGACAAACACACGGACCGACCAACATATGCGTCCTGTTAGCCCGACGAGGCGCAGTGATCGCAGCGCCGCAACGCAGCACGCCACCAACGGTCGCAGCGCGCTTCTCCGGCATCATGGCATCATGGCTATATACTGCATAGCGCGTAGTTGAATGTATGAGTCAGACATGTAAGCCAGCATGGAGTGCAATCTATGTTGTGCAACCTATGTTGCGAAATACTGGTGCAAAGTATATGGTGCAATATATGTGGTGTCATTGACTGCCTTGCACCGCGTTTGACCACCTCCCACGCTTTGCAAACATCCCACCAACCCATCCGCAACTTGGTTTGTAAAACCATGTAACGGCGATTGCGACGAGCGCTTGGCATTGGCTGGTGGATTTCTGCGGCCGCGCTAACCCGCACATGCTCGCGCGCACAACGGCCAGCTAGTTGGGCGCGACCGATGCGGCCGTGGTGGCGCTGACCGCTTAGCACTTCCCAGCAGGCACTTCAGTGAGGGTCGGTGACTTGGGCGGGCGCGGTATCATGGCAACGTCGACGACGGTAGACACGATGATGGTAGTAGCAATGGTGACGATGTTGACAACGACGACGGCAAAGCCAATGACGGCGCCGATGCTGATCACGCCTGCGACGATGACGGCGTCCTCGCGTCGGTGATGAAGGTTTTGGAAGGAGTTCGACATGCGCGCGCGGCCGACGCGCAATACGAGCTGCATGGTATTATTTAACGTTGATCGTGCCACCCCCCCAGAACGCGCGCAAGGGCTTTCGAATGATGTCGGCATGCGGCGCGAGAGGCCCGTTTGGCACAATTCCATGCAGATGTTGCAAAACCGATGGTTTCCTTAGGATTCGCAAGGGCGCGAGCTTACGCTTTTTTGAACACTGATGTTGCGACACAATGAACGATTCTTTTATATGTTGTTTGGACAGTCGCTGTTGAAATCGCTACGCAACTGGGAACTGCTGACGGATCTCGGCATGCGCGCGCGACGACGCGCGCGCGTGCACTGCGTCCCATCCGTGGCAAAGGATTCTCGCGACGGCACGCGCGCGAGGGCGTTTGAACGATTTCAACATGCGCGCGCGAAAACCGTTTGGTAGCATTCTTTGAACGCGCGATTGCGCGCGCGTGTACTTTGTGTCATGTGTTGCAAAGGGTTCTTGAAAACTGATGATTTTTATAAACAAGTGCGCGCGCAACGCATTTGTTGCAAAAGATGGCGGGGGGGGGATACCGGCTCGGCTGGGATGGTACGGGCTCATATTTAGGATGGACGACGGGGCAGAATCATATGTAAATTGCAATACGAAGATGGGTAGAGATAGTCCTGGGGGGTAGAGTCTTTCAAGAAAGGAAAATTCATGTCTGTTTGCAGTCAGTCGTCGACTCCACTACCCGCACAATCATCCCACCCACCCACCCGCAACCTGGTTTGCAAAACGCATGCGGTGGCGATTGCGAAGAATGGTTGACGTTTGCTTGTCCATCCCTGCGGCACCGCCAACCCAAGCACGCGCGCGCAGCGGCCAGCTAACTTGGCGCGAACGACGCGGCCACCGTGGCGCTGACCGCCGAGCACATCCCAGCGGGCACTCCAGCGCAAGTCGGCGACTTGGGCGGGCGCGGTATCATGGCAACGTCGACAGCGGCAGACACGATGATGATAGTCACGATGTTGGTGACGATGCTTACAACGACGACGGCGCGGCCAGCGCGGGCGCCGATGCTGATCGCGCCGACGACGATGGCGGCGTCCTCGCGTTAGTGATGCAGTTTTTGGAAGGAGTTCGACATGCGCGCGCGGCCGACGCGCGAGTGGCCCACGTGGAATTATTTGACGCGGAACGCGCCTCCCCCCCAGCACGCGCGCAACGGGCGGGCGAATGATTTCGGCGTGCGGCGCCAGAGGCCGTTCGGCAGAATCCTATGAAAAGGTTGAAGATCCGACGGTTTCCTTAAGGATTCGCAAGATCGCGAGCGCACGCTTTTCTTGACAACTGATGCTGCGAAACCAATGTTTAAACTGTAACTTGGACACTCGCGCTTGAATTCGCGACGAAATCACAAGCTTTTGAAAACATTGCGGCATGCGCGCGCGACGACGCGCGCGCGCACTTCGTCCCACTGTTTTGCGAAAGGGTTCTCGCGACGGCATGCGCGCAATGACGTTCGAACGAGTTCGACATGCGCGCGCGAAGCCAGTTTGGTAGTATTTTCTGAAAATGTTGGGAAACCTATGCTGTGCTTGAGAATTCGCAAGGGCGCCCGCAAGTTTTTTTGAAAATCAGTGTTGCGGACCCTTGTGTTTCTCATAGTATTTTGGACACTCGATGTTGACATCCTTACGAAACCAGAGGTTGGTGACAGATTTCGGCACGCGCGCGCAACAACGCGCGCGTGCGCACGTCGTCCTATTTACTGCAAGGGATTCTTGAACACTGATGATGTGTTATAAACGAGTGCGCGCATAATCTGTTTTGCAAAGGATGGCGGGGGAGGGGGCGATGTCGGCTCGGCTGGAATTGTACGAACTCATATGTAGGATGGACGATGGGCAGAATCATACGTACATTGCAATACGCAAATGGGCGCCGGTAAATTCGGGGGGGGCAGGGGTAGAGTCGATTCCCTTTTACGCAAGGAGGATCTATGTTGTGCACTCTGGGTGGTGCATTACAGGCGGCGATGCGGCGGCAATGGGGAAACATAGCCGCCGAACCGACCCGCAGGCCCAGACGACAGGCGGCGACGAGGCGTTGACGGGGCGGCGACGGCGAGAACATAGACGCCAAACCGACCCGCAGGCCCAGTTCCTCAAAGACGATTGCGAAGCCCTAAATACAAGCACTGCTTAGGGCGGAAGGGGGAAGAGAGAGAGAGAGAGAGAGAAACGAGAGGGATATATAGAAACGTCTAGAGAGAGAGAGAGAGAAAGAGACGGAGAGATCGAGAGAGAGAGAGAAACGTAGAGAGAGAGATGAGAGAGAGAGGGAGAGATAGAGAGGCAGATAGAGAGAAACAACAACATATGTGGATACGGAGATACATACACATGTACAGAGAGAGAGAGCACAAACATACAAAGGCAGAAAGCGCTAGAGATAGAGAGAGAGAGGCAGAGAGAGGCAGACTCAAAGCCACTTCGAGTTGAAGCAATGTCGGTCGAAAAGGTATGTATCCAGGCGATAGCGCACTTGTAAAATACCAATGAAACCCGACAATAAAAGGAACGCGTGCGTTTGTACAAAGGAAGAAAGCCACACCGCTAGGTAGCCATTATCTCGCGAGGCAGGATCTCAATAACAAAACATCATCATGATACCATACTGGTACCTGAGAGAGGACACATAATACTAGCAAGAGGAACAGGAGGAGACACGGCGCAGCGCGAGTCCTCGTTGAAGACAATCGCCTCACCGCTGCGGCAACGAAAGAGGTGGCAGCTTCGCATCCTCTTTCGCTCTCACCCTGCACCGAACTCGACGGGAACGGTCTCCATGATGAGGGTGACGGGACGAGGGAGGATCAGAACGAAGAGGAACAAGACGAGCACGTAAGAGGAGCAGGAGGAGGAGGAGGAGGAGGAAGAGGAGCTGGGGAAGGAGCAGGAAGAAGGTGAGAGGAGGAGCTTTTTCGGTCGGCGGCCACGAGGGAGTCAAAAGCGGCGGCCGAGCCGCGGCGGGGCGCGCCGGGAGGCACAGCCAGAGGCACGAGGGGAGGGCCATCGCTCGTACGTCCATTCCCTGTGCTTTTTTCGGTTTCGTGCGTGGCTTTTTCGCCAAATGATCAGGGATGCTCCTCGATGGTCCCCGCCGAAGGAAAAATGCACACGTCCGAGCGATGCCAAGCTAGGGGAGGGCCGCAGAGAGCAGGGGAGAAGCAGAACGGGTCGGACCCGGGCACCTGCCGTGCCCTCGGCTGGCTCGCCGCACCTGCTGGTGGAGCGCGTGAGCTCGACAAAAACGCTGCCGGCAGCTTCCGCACGCAACTCGGTCGGACAGCCCGCGGGATCCGCGGCCAAAGGGGAGCCTGCTCGGCCCACGTCGGCACCAAGGCGCGCTGCACTGCTCCACGGCACAGGGGTGGAAGGCGTGGGGCACCCGGGCTCAGAATTGCACAGCTCGGGGCAGGTGAGTGCGGGAGGAGGGCCAGCGGAGAATGCGCGGGCACGGCGCGCGGGCAAACGGATCGAATGGAGGGGTGAGGCCGCTTCGGGCCTCGCCGAACACAGCATGTTAACTCTGCTGAAATTCGCCCTCGGGCTCACCACTCCTTAGTTACTCTCCCAAAGCTCCGCCTCCACACTCACCCCCTCCGCACACCCCCCCAGAGCAGTAACGGAGCCCGGTCGACAGGCTTATGAGATGTACAGCCTCAAAGGCAAGGAGGGTCAAGGAGTGAGAAGGGAGCAGCACGAAGGGCCCCCAGCCACTCGAGGGTCCTAACCATCAACTGTGGGCAGTTGCAGCCCTTCCCGCCCGCTCTCGTTCACTGGCAGCTCTTTCACACGCTGCCCACGTGCGCGCGCGCGGCCAAAGCCCGGACAGCGTCCGTGCAGCGTCAACACGACGACGCCGACGGCCGAGATGACGGCCACGAGGTGCGGACCCACAGGACACATGCGGGCACCCCTCGCTGTAGTGTGCGCATTTGCCCTTGGCGACTGCCTGGATGAAGCCCTCTCTCGAGGCGCGTTGAGGGCTTTCGCGATCCTCCTCCTCCTCCTCCTCCTCATCCTCCTTCTCTCTGTTCCCCCGCTCAATCCACACATGATATGAGGTTGGGGAGTGGGAATGTCGTGCGTGCAGGCGAGACGAAGCAGCGCGAGGGCGAGGGCGATGATATGCCGGCCGAGGCTAGGATCAAGTCGGGCAGAAGGTCTGTCCCCGTCTCGCGGTGGTGCACGGGGTTGCCCTGTGGGTTGCTCCGTGGCTGTCCCATGAGTCGTCCTGTGGGTTGTCCTGTGGGTTATCCCGCGGGTTGTCCTGTGCTTGACCCGTGTCTTGTCCTGTGGGTGTCCCGCGAATGATCCCGTTGTCCCAAAAGTTGTCCCGTGGGTTGCCCAATGGGTTGCCCCTTTGTTGTCACGCGGGTTTTACCGTGTTTGTCCCGTGGTTGTTCCGTGGGTTGTCCCGCGGCTTGTCCTGTGGTTGTCCCGTGGTTGTCACGTATGTTGCCTCCTGTGATGTCCTTTGGATTGTCCCATGGGGTGTCCCGTAGTTGTCTCATGGTTGTCAAATGGATTATCCCCCGGGCTGTCCCACGGTTTGTCACGGATTGTTCGATTTGTCACGGGGTTGTCCCGTGGGAAATGCACATTCAACTCGAAATGCAAATCGAACTGTAAATCCAAGTGCAAGCGACATGATTATCGCAATGTAGGTGTAGGCCTAAGTGGTATCATCGAATTGCAATCGAACTGCACATGGAAATGTAAGGTACTCAATCCTCCAGCCTCTTTATCACCCAGAGGGTGGTCCATGAGGTACTGTAAGCTTCTTGAGTATTCGTGCGTCCCTCGCTTCCCACGGGGCGCAGACTCGTGCGCGCTGGTGAACTTCCATGAACATCTGGGGTCCGCCACCGCGCCCCCCGTCACGTTGCGGCGTGGTAGAACGGGGAATGCCCTGGTGAAGCAACTGATGACGGACACCCCCCCTCTACAGTCGAGGCGTTGACCTAAGGAACCCTAAATAAGGAACGAGGCCCCTATTTCCCATAAGCTCAACCTCGATTTCCGTGGAGAACCTCTGGAAAACCCGAGGCAAACTCTGAAACAATCAAGGAACACCGAGCCCCTCCCCAACGAAAAGGGTTCCTTCTCCAGGGCCCCGGCTGTACTCGCACCCGGCCGCATGCACAGCCCCCTTCTCGCGAGGCTCTCTCTCTCTCGGCGCCCCGACGCCTTCCCGGCGCTCTCCGAAGCGTCCAAGAGTTCCGAAAGATGGCCTCCGGGGCGGCCCAGGCAGGCCACCAAGGCCGCCAAGGTGACCCCAAGATGCGTCCCGATGGCCACAAGACGGTCCAGGATGGCCCCAAGACGGTCTGAGATGGTCCAAGATACGGTAGAGGGAAACAATTCGTGAACATCCCCCCCTGCCCCCCAAACCCAAAGTTGGCACGCGGGGGGGGAGACTGCGGTCGAGGTGCAACTCAACAGACCCACCGCCAACTTTGAACATTGGGGGAAGGGGGAGGCGTTCACAGATGAATGTGGCATGAGTGTTCGCTAATTTTTTCCGAGGCCTGTAGCTCAAGGTCCTCAAGATGGACCAAGAAGGCTCCACGAAAATCTCCAGGAGCGCCCGAAAAGTCCAGATCATGGATTGTCCTTGGGCGTTTGGTGGATTTTTGCATTCTCACCTTTTCGGGATTCCGTCAGCTCGAGACGGCCAAGGTGGCCTCCAAGATGGCCTCACGACATCCGACGAGGGCTTCAAGATGGCCCCAAGACGGCCCCAGAGGATTGCAATCTGGCCCAAGAGCGGTCCAAGAAGACCACAAGTCTGCCCAGAGGAGCCCTCGAACGGTCCAAAAAGGTCCCCCCAAAGGCCCCAAGACGCCCCAGAGAGCCCCCAAGACGGACTCCAAAAGCGCCCAGACACTCAAGAGCGCCCTCCGACGGTTCAAGGAGCTATCAAGAGCCTCTGAGGCGCCTCCAAGACGCTGCCAAGAGGCCCCCAAGAAAGGCCCCCAAGAGGCACCCAAAATGCTCACAGGTCCTTCAAGGGGCCCCAAATGTCACACGTGACGGGCCCCCTCGAATCATCGCCATCCAGAATGCTGGGCTGGCACCGTGCTGGGCATGATTGTTCACGTTTGCTTTTCCTTCACTCCTCTGCTACAGTCAGAAACCCTGATAAGGACGCGCGGTAAGGACGCAAGACCCTTGGAAGCCGAAGTTGGGAGTTTTGGGGGCGGCGGGCGACGAAAACCTCGAGGACGCAGGAGCAAGGAAGGGCAAGGACGCGAGGGTACCCTGAGCAGAGTCGCGCGTCCTTATGAGGGTTTTTGACTGTACTCTTCGAGATGCCGTGGGGGCGGACGGGCCATGACTCTGGCGCCACGTTCCGCGCGCCCCGCCGCGGCCCGCCAAGGCAGAGCCAGGGGGGCCGAGGAGACGGCGAGCGGAGGCCCCCCCCCCCCCCCCAGAAGAGGAAGCTCCCTGGAGGGTCCGAGCAGTTGGGTGAGTCGGGAGGCGTGCGAAGAGGGAGGAGGGGGAGGAGGAGGAGGAGGAGGAGGAGGAGGAGGAGGAGGAGGAGGAGGACGAGGACGAGGAGGAGGAGGAGGAGGAAAATGAGTACAAAAAGAAGAAGAACAAGCCATGCAATCGTAAGACAAATCCGCCGGCCCCCTTGTGGGGCCACGAGGCTGTAGGCCGAAGTGTGCGCTGCTCCCTGCACCAGTTGCAATTTCAAGTCTCCAATGTTGCAGTCCTGCTGTCTACTGAAAACTGTCAACTGTTGAAGTCCGCGCGATATGGGGGAGCCCCAAACCGCCAGTTTACCGCGCCCGGATCGCGTTGTCTGAATTCCCGGGGGGGGGGGGCGTGAGACACAACAAATACATGAGCTTCGTGCTCCCGAGGCCATAATCCACCGTAAATTAAAATATTCGCGTCCCCGAGGACATTATATTCGCATTGCCGAGGCCAAGTGTGCCCCAAGGCGCCCGAAGCTGGTTCCAAGACGGCCCAAGAGATTCCCAAGAGACCCCAAGAGCGCTCCAAGAGGCCTCCCGAGAGAGCCCCAAGAGGCCAACATCGACGATTTTACGAAGGTTCTCGAAAGATTCTGGCCTTCTCGCAATTTCGGCTTTCCGACGCTCCAAGACGGCTCAAGAAGATCCCAAGACCGCCCCAAGACAGCCCAAGAGGCCCCCAAGAGGGCCCCCGACGGCCCAAGAGGGCTCCAAGATGGCCCCAGAAGCGCTCAAGAAGGCCCCAAAAAGCCCCAAGAGGGGCCCAAGAAGGGTACCACGAACCGACAATTCGATATGTGTGCACCGAGAAGCCCCCAGGACGTTTCAAGAAACCTCCAAGGGGCCCCAAAAGGCCCCAAGAGGCGCACAAGACGCGCGCAAGAGGCCTCCAAGAGGCCCAGAAGAGACCCCACGAGGCCCCCCAAGAGGCGCCCAAACCGCCTCCACGAGGCCCCCGAGAGGCTCCCCACGGCACCCCAACGCAGATACAAGAGGCCGCAGACCCACCACCCAGGCACGGTGTCGGGATGGATTGAAGGCCACTACAACCCCCCGCGAAACCTAATGCAAGTTTTCCCGCCCCCCCCGCGCCCCCAATTTCCATGTTAAGGTGCGCGCGCGGCGCGGTCCGCGGACGCCGACGGAACAAAATCCAGCGGCGTGCTTCGGCATCAACATTCGAATTTTGGGGCCACGGTGGCGCCGACGCGGCGCGGGGCAAGACTTGCTTTACGTCTCACAAGGGGGACGTAGGATCTCCGCCGTCCCCTGTTGGCTTGCCACAGGGGTGCCCGGCGTGCTGGACCCTTTTGGTTTTGGTTTGGTTCTTTTCCCAAAAAGAGCTCTCCTTAGAGTCCCGAAACGGTGCGGTGACGGACCGTGCGGTGACTTCGAAATCCCCCAAGACCTCACCGCACGGTCCGTCACCGCACGGTCTTGGGACCCTGGAGGCCCCTGTCGCCCGATACATCCTCGGAGAACGACCCGAGTCCCAAAACCGTGCGGTGAGCCCGAATCCCCACCGATTCACCGCACGGTGTGGTCACCACCCCGTTTGGGGGCCTCTCCCCTGGGGCTCCGGCCCAGCCCGCCAGCCATCCGGAAGGCCGCACAAGCGAGCGCAAACGAGCACAGCGTCCACAACAAACTCTCCGAGACAGCTCAAGATAGCCTCCAAGACGGCCAAGATGGCCTCCAAGTTCGGCCACTCTGGTCCAAGATGGCCTCCAAGACGGCTCAAGAGAGTCCAAGATGTCTCCAAGATCGTCCAAGAAGCCTCCGAGAAGGCTCAAGAAGGCCCAAGATTATCTCAAGATGGCCCAAGAGGCCGCAAAAGCGTTCCAAGAGAGCCCCAAGAGGCCCCCCAAGAGAGCCCCAAGGGGCCAAAATCATTGATTTCCTCTTGTTTTTTTTCGAATTTTGGCATGTGCTTCTCTTCGGTCCTCCGACGGCCCGAGACGGCCCAAGAGCCCCCAAAGATCGCCCCAAGAGCGCCCAAGAGGCGTCCAAGAAGGCCACAGAACGGCCCAAGAGGCCCCCAAGACCGCCCCAGGAGGGCGACAAGACGGCCCAAGATGCCTCCAAGATGCCTAAGATGACCTCCAAGAAGGCTCTGGAGGACCCCAAGAGGGCCCAGAGTCGGCCCAGAGAGGCCCCCAAGACATCTGCCGACGGCGTCAGACGGGCCAGGAGCCCACCAAGGTGGCCCAAGATGGCTCTAAGATGGCCCAAGACACCCAAAAGGCCCTCAAGAGACCGCCAAGACGGCCCAAGAGGCCTCCAAGCGGGCCTCCAGGAAGGCCCGAGGAGGCCCAACTCATTGACCCGTAGTCCGTAGGGTTTTGAAGGACTTGGACATGCAGTTCTTGTCAGCCTTTCGACGGGCCGAGGCGGCCCAGGAGTCCCCAAAGATCGCCCCCAAATCGCCCAAGAGGCGTCCAAGATGGCCCCAGAACGGCCCAAGAGGCCCCCAAGACCGCCCCAGGAGGGCGACAAGACGACCCAAGATGCCTCCAAGATGCCCAAGATGACCTCCAAGAAGGCCCTGGAGCACCCCTAGAGGGCCCCCAGTCGGCCCAGAGAGGCCCCCTAGACAGCTTCCGACGGCGTCAGACGGGCCAGGAGCCCACCAAGATGGCCCAAGATGGCTCTAAGATGGCCCAAGGCGGCCCCAAAGGCTCCCAAGAGGCGTCCAAGACGGCCCAAGAGTCCTCTAAGAGGGCCTCCAGGAAGGCCCGAAGAGGCCAAATCTATTGATTTTCATTCGGTGTTTAAAGGATTTGGGCATGTGCTTCTTTTCGGCCTTCCGACAGCCCGAGACGGCCCAAGAGCCCAGAAAGATCGCCCAAGAGGCCTCCAGGACGGCCCCAGAACTGTCCAAAAGGCCCCCAAGACGGCCCCAAGAGGGCCCCCAACCGGCCCAAGAGGCCTCCAAGATGCCAAGACAGCCCTAGAGCACCCCAAGAGGGTTTCCAATCGGCCCAGAGAGGCCCCCAAGACGGCTACCGACGGCGTCGGACGGGCCAGGAATGCCTTGAGACGGCCAAAGAGGCCCCCGAGGAGGCCTCCAAAGAGCCCCCTAGAGGCCAAAGGAGGCCCCCCAAGATGCTAGGAGGCCCCAAGAGTGCCCCCAGATGCTCCCAAGATGCCCCGTCCTCCTCCTCCTCCTCCTCCTCCTCCTCCTCCTCCTCCTCCTCCTCCTCCTCTCCTCCTCCTCCTCCTCTCCTCCTCCTCCTCCTCCTCCCCTCCTCCTCCCTCCTCTCCTCCTCCTCCTCCTTCTCCTCCCCCTCCTCTCCTCCTCCTCCTCCTCTTCTCGTCCTCCTCCTCTTCCTCCTCTTCCTCCTCTCCTCCTCCTTCTGCTCCTCCTCCTCCTCCTCCTCCTTCGCCTTCTCCTCCTCCTCCTCCTAATCTATTCCCCGCCATCTTCCCCCAAATGTTCCCCGAAGGGTTTCCACAACGGTTGGGGGAGCACATGGTCCGATAGCTTGGCAGAGCTCTTGTCACAACGCTCGGACACATGAGCGCTTTCAAACCTCTTGCTCCCCCACGCGTTCCCCGAAGGGTCTCCAAACCGACTCGGGGAACAACTGGCCCGATAGCTTGGCCAAGCTCTTGCCCAGCTGTCGGCCACATATGCGCTTCCACAAGGGCAGGGGGCGGCGGTGATTCGTCGTAGGCGTCTTCGATAACGCCAACGTCTCAAGATGCGCTGATCATTCCTATCCGCCCCCCGCATGATATTCCCAGATGCGCCAAGGCAGCGTCGAGACGCACAGACGCGACTCTGATATATCCCATTATGACAGAGAGGGGGCCGGCGGCAAGAGGCGAAGCCCTTACGGATAGCAAGAGTACGAATAATAATAGCAGTAAGAATAACAATCATAATAATCATATCAATATTAATAAGACTATAATAACACTAATACACTTACTACTACTACTACTACTACTACTACTACTACTACTACTACTACTACTACCACAACAACACTACTACTACTACTACTACTACTACTACTACTACTACTACTACTACTACTACTACTACTACTACTACTACTACTACTACTACTACTACTACTACTACTACTACTACTACTACTACTACTACTACTACTACTACTACTACTACTACTACTACTACTACTACTACTACTACTACTACTACTACTACTACTACTACTACTACTACTACTACTACTACTACTACTACTACTACTACTACTACTACTACTACTACTACTACACAACAACAACTACTACTACTACTACTACTACTACTACTACTACTACTACTACGAATAATAGTATTGAAAATAATAATTATACCAATGGTCGTAGTAATACTAATCATAATAATAATGCGAAGATTGAGGAGGAAAACTAAGGAGGATGTGAAGGAGGAGGATAAGGAGGAGGGAGGATGACGCAGGTGATGGCCAAGCCACTCTTCGACGCAAGACTCGCGTCGCAAGAAATAAGCGCCGGCGTGCAGCTAAGATCCCAGCTTCCCCGAGATCCCAAGGAATCCGCCGACCCCTTGGGGTCATCGGCGTGTGAGATGCTTCCCCCTCCCCAAATCCCTCCCCCCGGGGCCCAGTCTGGTCGGTTTGGAGGAGGGGGGGGGGTCCGGCTGGCCCCGGCTGACCGCGTCACGGGCCTCATTACGGGCCAAGAGGGCCCCAAGAGGCCCACAAGATGGTCAAGAGGGCCCCGAGTCGCCGATGAATCGTTTCAAGACGCCCAAGATGGCCCCCAGACGGCCCAAGAGGCCCCCGAGACGCCCCAAGAGGCGTCCCAAGAGGGCCCCAGAAGCAAAAATCATCCCATTCGCTTCAGGGAAACGTGCGATTTTAGCACATTCGCCTTTTAGGCTTTCACAGCATCCAGGACGGCCCAAGAGGCCTCCAAGATCGCCCCCAGACGGCCCAGGAAGTCCTCAAGAAGGCTCCAAGACGGCCCCAAGAGGCCCCCAAGACGGCTCCTCTAAGAGGGGGCTCAGGCGGGGGACCCGAACGGAAATGTCGAGCCCTCGGCCCCAAGAGGCCGCCAGGAGGCCCCAAGAGGCCCCCCCAAAGAAGCCCCCTAAGAGGCTCCAAGAGGCCCCCCAAAGAAGCCCCCAAGAGGCCCCAAGACGCTCCCAAAAGAAGCCCCCAAGAGGCTCCAGGAGGCCCACCAGAGGCCCAAAAGAGGCCCCAGGAGGCCCCAAAACGGCCCCCAAAGGCTTCAAAAGTGCTGCCAGGAGGCCTCCGAGAGAACTACCAAGGAGCCCCCCCCCCAAGGGGTCGGCGGTGCGGCGTAAGCCCAATAATCAGACGCATGCTCGTGTGTAACTCGTGCGCGCTGGCGCGGCCATGCGCGATCGTCGCCATACGACCGAGGATCCCCCAATGCCCGATGCCCGACAGCGGCAACAATGGCATGTACCGCTTCAGACATGGCACCAGAACATGATCAACAAACGTCACAGGAGATGCTCCCGCCTACATCAATCCAGCACCGCACGTGCCGCAGGCAACACCACAATGCACAGGAGGGCGGCGGCAGCGCGCACGTCTTCATCAAAGGAAGCCCGCGCCTCAACCAAGTCCTCGTCACCACGCAGCGTGTCAAGAATGCCCTGCCGCAGTGACACGCTGGCAGAGCTGGGATGATTCATGTCCAATTTTATGCATGCGTTGAACGATCACTTCTTGCACTTCCCCCCCTCCCCCGCCTCATCCGTCTTCTCTTCCTCCTCCTCCTCCTCCTCCTCCTCCTCCTCCTCCTCCTCCTCCTCCTCCTCCCCGTCACCCCTCTTCTCATCCTGTTGCATGACCCCGCACTGACAGAATCTGACAGGCTCATCTGCAATTGCGATTCTTAGTTAACTCACCGAGCCATCCACTCCATCCATTCATGCCGCTGAGACGGAGGAGGGCGAGAAATACGACGAAGAGCACGCAGCGGAGCCAGACAAGGGAGGCGGCAGAGGACAGGGCTGCGAGCCCGACTCTCCCCCAACAAACACAGCCGAGCAGGATAATATCCTACACACCTGGGAGAACAGTGATAACCACATCGGCAAGACTATCACAGCCGCTGCGATCCAAACGACGACGCCGAAAAGAGAGTCAACAAGTGATATCCGCCTTCCAATATTGGCAACGTGCGCGGATGCGCGCTATGGCAAGTCATCGATATATTCATGATTGGCGTGCGCGCCTCGCGGCAACATTAAGAGGCGGATGTCACATCATGCAAGGTTTTGGCGGTGAGCGAGGGGGAAATGAGAAGGAGGAGGCCTTCTCAGAAGGCGGCGGGATTTCTCAGAACCCCCGCGCCGTCTGAGGAATGTTCTGTCTTCGGGGAAGGTTCTTCATACAACTTCTCAGAAGGCCGGGGGATTTCCGAGCCTCCTGAGAAGGCACGCCCATTCTCACTTCCCCCCCTCGCTCGCCGCCGACGGGTGTTCCTCCAAGATGACCCCTCGATGTGCGGCAACCATGGCTGGTTCTGGGATCGGCCTTGCAATTTCGTTCCCACGGTGTCCTCCTCCTCCTCCTCCTCCTCCTCCTCCTCCTCCTCCTCCTTCTCATTCTCGTACTCATCCACCGCCACATGTTTCGTTTGCCTATTCCTCGAACGTCTACTCCGCCGATTCCCTGGTACCCACCATCAGAATAAACGCCACCATATTAACCCACCTCATCCATGCGATTATGCGGCTGATGTTCAAATTATTCTTCCCCCTCCCCTCCCCCCGTTCCCCCCTCGACCCCCACTACCCCCCCCCCATGCTTCCATTTCCTCTCTCGCCCCCGTTTCCCTCCCCTTTCTCTACATCCCTCCGTTTCCTCCTCCTTCTCCTCGTCCTCCTCCTCATCGTCCTCCTCCTCCTTCTCCTCCTCCTCCTCCTTCTCTTATCCTCCTATTGTTCCTCCGCCTCCTCCTACTTTTCCTCGTCCTCTTTTTTTCTGTATCCGATTCCACCCTCAAAAAAAAACCATCATCATCGTCAACATCCCCATCCTCATCCTCATGATCGGCACCATCGTCATCGCATCGCCACCATTACAATCAGCATCGCCATCACGAGCCGCCACCATCACCATCATAAGCGTCATCACTTCATTGACATACCATTGTCACCGTCATCATTCGCATCATCGCCAACGCCGTCGCAACACCGTCACACAATCATCAGCACCACCACTATCAGCATCAGCACCGCCAACATCACTGTCACCACCAGCAGCGTAGTCAGCATCAGCGCCACCATCATCATCACCACCATCACCACCTCCACCATAACCATCACCATAATCACCAGCATCATCATCCGTATAGTCATCGTCATCATCATCACCACTACCATCGCCACCGCCACCACCATCAGAATCATCACCATCACCATCATCATCATCATCATCATCATCATCAACAACAACAACATCGGCATCGTCATCATCAGCATCCTCGTCATCATCATCATCAACATCATCATCAGCACCATCCGCATCATCATATGATACCCCTCCTCCTCCTCCTCCTCCTCCTCCTCCTCTTCCTCCTCTTCCTCCTCCTCCTCTTCCCCCTCGTCCTCTCCTCTCCCCTCCTTTCCCCCTCCTCCCCCTTTTCCCTTTCTTGCTTTTCTGCTTCTCCCCCTCCCCCCCGATGGGGGGAGGGGGGAGGAAAAGAGAAGGGGGGACGGGAGATACATGGAGAGAGACGGGGAGGGGCGAGGGGCTGGGGGAGGGGGAACGGGGAGGCAAGGCAAGGCAAAGGCGGTGGAACAAATGTCCCAATCAATGCTTTACTTCCGCTGGCTTCCGCGGAAGAAGCTTCCGCCGGCTTCCGCCGAGGAAAGAGCCGCGACGTCGGGACGACCATCACGTCGCACCTGGGAGCTATATTTCTGCACCCCCCCCACCAGAAGCAGAGGACCAGGGAGCAGAGGGGCGGGAGAACGAGGAGGCGGAGGAGGAGGACGGGGAGGAGGAGGACATAGGACGACAACGGCGAGGACGAGGAGGGCGAGGAGGACGTGGAGGACGAGCACGATGAGGACGAGGAGGAGGACGCTGAAGTTGTTCCTCCCACGGCGCCGGCACAGAGTAGGAGCACCACGACTCGTTGCCACCACCACCACCCCTGGCCGCCCTCGATGCTCCTCGGACCGCTCTGGCGAGCCCCCCTCGGATCCCTCCTGGGGCCTCCAAGAGGATGAGACGGCAGCGGAGGAGCAGGGAGCAGTGAGAAGGAACACGAGGAGGAGGAGGGGCAGAAGGCGAAGCAGCAGCAGGACGCCGAAGGAGGCCTCAAGACTGCTCCCCGACCTGCCCTCCCGGGCTCCATCCTCTCGGGTCGGACGAAAGGGAGGGCTACAGAGGCGAGGGGGGGCAGCGAATCAGCCCACGCAGTCCGGCACCGTGGGCGCCAACGCATCGAGGAAAGTGCACGGCGGCGAGGCCGAAGCCAGCTGCACGCAGCAGATCTCGTAATTACACCCCCCTCTTTCCCCTGGCCCTATCCCCCCTCTCGTCGGACCACGAGGCCCTCCTCGTCGGCCCCTGCCCCCCCCCCTCCCCATCCGGGATCGGCTACACGCAAGAGTGACCCTGGGTAAGAGTGACCTTTGGTGCGCGGCTTTTTGGGGGCCGCGGGGGACCAAACCTGGGCGCGCAAGCCGCTGCTCTTGCTTCGTTTTCGGTCATCTGGGGACCCATCTGTGCCCGCGCCGAAGGCCACTCCGGCGAAAGGTCACTCTTACGTCTAGTCGACGGGAGAAGGGAAGCTCACCACCACCGCCACCCCGGGGGGCCGCAGGGCCTGCCGACCCCCTGGCAGATGCCGGCGGCGCCAGGTGCCCCCCTTCCGCGAGAGGGCGCCCCCCCGAAAAAGGCGGACGCGCACCGCCAGCGCCGCCCCCCTGGTGCCTCCCCGCCCTGCCCCCCGCCTCGCCGGGCGGTGGTGGAGGTCCGTGGCCATCTCCCCCCGCCCTCCGACGTCGGCACCCGCCGCCCGCCCCCGGGAGGGAGAGAATCGTGCCTCGCCACCCGGACTGCAAGGGGTCGGGCCCCGCCCCCGAGCCCGCCCCGCCCTGCCCCCCGAGCTCTCGTGCCGGGCCCGCGGCCTGCCAGGCACGCTCCGAGGCCGCCCGCGGAGCTCCCGCGGCCCGGAGGCCGGCCGCTCGAGGAGAGAGAGTCGGGTGCTGCTGGAGGTGCCCCTGGCCCAGGGTGCCCCCCCGGGACCTCCATGGGACCAGGGGCTCCACCGTCGAGCGAGACGCTGGGATTGAGCAGGGACCGACCGTCCCGGCATTTCTGTAGTCCTACCACGACATGTTCCCTTAGAACCCCCAAAAAGTTCTGAGAACAAAAACAGTGTTCTTAGAACAGATGCCCGATGTGAGAAAACAAGACAGGCTCCGCCAGAAATGTTCTGGGAACATGTCGTGGAGACCACACACAAAATTCTTAGAACATTCTTCGGTGGGGCTATGGGCGAGCCGGGACGCCTCGCCACTGCCTGATGGGGGCGCCTTGGGCCAGGAGCACCTTCGGCCACCCCCGCCAAAGAGAGGGCGCGAAGTCGACCGGCCGAGGCGGCCGCGACGCGTCTCGGAGGCCAGAGGGCGTCTGGCCTGCTTACCAGCCTCGAACCTATCCCCACCCCCAGGATTGGCACGCCAAGAGGCGATGACAATCTTAGGCATTCGCCCTCAAAAAGTAAGGGAATCCCTAAGATTGGCGTCGTGATGAGGAGATGCCCAGCATAGGGATAGGGATATGTTCCAGGCTGGTAGCCTGCTGCCACCGAGCCGTGGGGCCCAGGGCGTGCCAGAGGATCGAGGCCTCTGGGGTGGCGGTCCGACCTCCCTGCTGGAGGCTCTTCCCTTCTGATCTTCCGACCTACGTCAGCCTTGGACCGCCAGAAAGAGTTTCGAGCACCAGGAAGGTACCAAGACTGGATGGCTTTCACGTGTCGGGCCCTGGGAGGCGATGCTCCTTCGACACTTCGCTGGCGTGTCGTGCAGCCACTGATCCGACACTTTTCTGGGTGCTCGCACGCAGTTCTGGGATGTGGTCCTGAAGCGCGATGGGAACAACATGAACTCTGCCCTTCCATCCTGGAGGATGTTCCCCAGAATCATACAGTCGGGACGTTGACCTAAGGAACCCTAGATAAGGAACGAGGCCCCTTTTTTCCCATAGGTTAAACTTCGATCTCCCATGGAAAACCCAAGGAACACCCAGGGCAAACTGTAACACAATCGAGGAACACCGAGCCCCTCCCCAACGAGAAGGGTTCCTGCTGCAGCGCCCCGACTGCACCAGCGCGACCCCAAAACTTCCTCCGTGATAAGTCCGCCGACCCCCGCCCGCCGGGCCCGAAGAGGCGCGCGAGGCATCTGGCGGTGCCCCTCTCTCCCTTTCCCCTGCTGAAGCCCGATTGGGGGGCCTCCCCCTCCCGGTGGGGGCACGAGCTCGTCAGCGCGCCCTCGTGGCCACTGGAGCCTCCAGAGAGCCCCAAGGCGGCCCAAGGGAGCCCAAACAGAGCGCCAAGACCATCCGAGAGGGCGTCGAGACGGCCCATGGTAGCCCTACGCGACGGTCCAAGATTGCTTCGAGACGGCCCAGGAGGCCACCAAGACGGCCCAAGGGTGCTTCCAGAGGACCGCCGAGACGGCCCCAAGAGGCAAACATCCACCCACTCGGTAAGAATAACATACACTCTTGGCACACTCGCCTTTCCCGTCTTGGCAGCGTCCAAGACGGCCAAAGGGTACCCCAAGATCCCCCAAGATCGTCCCAAGACGGGTTGAGGCCCCTAAGAGAGCCCCAAGACGGCCCAGAGAGGCTCACAAGGGCCCCAAGAGTGGCCCAAGAGGACAAATCCGAGCTAACATTTCAAGCCGTTCCCCAAAGATGGCCCCTAACGTCGCTCACAGGCCCCCGAGGCGCCCCCCAAAGCCACCCAGAGGACTCCATCAGGCCCCCAAGAAGCAAACATCACCCCAGATGCAACAAAGAGCCCTCCACAAGATGCACCTGAGAAGCATCCCAACAGCCCCTCAAATATCCTCATATACTACATTCAAGAAGCTCCTGACCCACCAAATAACTTCCACGATCGCCACAAACTCTCGCTCCTTCTGGGGGTCGGCGGAAAGACCTAAGCCACTTGAAGCATGACAAAAGGCAGGCGTTGCGTTGCATTGCTTTGCGAGGCGTGGCATTGCTTGGCATTACGCTGCATTGTTTGGCAATGCTTGTGAATTGCTTGGCGTTGGTAGGCATTGATTGGCAATGCGTGGAGATTGCTTAGCGTTGGTCGGCATTGATTTGCATTGCTTGACAATGGCATTGCTTGGCATTGATTGGCATTGCTTTACATTGCTTTGCGCTAGCTGTCACCGCTTTACATTGCTTGGAGTTGTTTGTTCTTGATGTGCATTGCTTGGTGTTGCTTGGCATAGCTTCGCGTTGGTTCGCATTGCTTTGCTTGCTTGGCATTTCTTGGCGATACTTCGCATTGCTTTGCGTTACTTGGCATCGCTTGGCGTTGCTTTGCATTGCTTTGCGCTGCTTGGCATTGCTTGGTATCGCTTGACATTTCTTGGCAAGCCAGAGAATGCCTGTTCAGATACAGGATCGGGGATCTCCTGACCCGGGTCAATCCAGACCCGGGTCAGTCAGGCCTGCAGAATCCTGCAAGCTTCTGCAGGACCCTGCACCCAAACCCGGGTCGATGCGAAGGATCCTGCAGGATCCTGCACTCAAACCCGGGTCAATGCGACCCTGGCCCTGCAGGATCCTGCAAGATCGGGCGCTCTGGCTGACCCCCGTTTGCATTGACCCCCGTCTCGAGGCTCCCGACAGGAAGGAACAACAAGGAGCCCGGGGAACCCGAGCGAGGTCGGCCGTGCAACAATCAGTCAGGAAACAGGACCAGAGAAACCTGGGGAACCCTGGGAACTCGAGCAGGGCCAGCCGGCGCGGGTCCGGTGCCCACCGGTTGTTCAAAAACAAAAAAGGGAAGCCCTTTGGCAAGCCTGTCTCGGGAAGGAAACTTCGACCTCCAAACGGCAGAATTCGATCCTCTGGGCTGGCCCCACTCGGAGTCGGCCCCGCCCACACCTCCGCCCCTCCCCGCCCTTCCCGCAGCCCTGGCATCAGCCCGACCCTGGGGAGGGTGGCCACCGGGGCTGGGCGAGTGAGGAGGTCCGTTCAGAGCCACCGCGAACTCGGCAGAGAGCGGCAGCCCGCTCGACATCCCCCCACCCTTGAGCAGGGACCGACCATCCCGGCATTCCTGTAGCCCTATCACGAAATTTTCGTAGAACCCAGAATTGCTCTAAGAGCAAAAACAATGCTCTTAGAACACAGAAACCCGACGTGGTAAAACAAGACAATCTCAACCAGAAATGTTCTAGGAGCATGTCGTGCAGACCACAAAAAGGTTCTTAGAGCATTCCTTGGTGGGGCTATAGGCGAGCCAGGACGCTTCGCCACTGCTTGAACACCTGCGCACCACCGCCACGCCCCGCCAGGCCCCCACCTCGCCCTGGCAGGGGGGTGTGCGCCCGCCCTCGCGGCCCCGGCCAGGAGAGTGCCCACGCCCGCCGCGGCCCGAGCGCCCTCCGCGGAGCCCTGCCTCCCGCGGCGCACCCCCCCTCTGGCAGAGACCCCGCTCGGCGCCCCGCGGACGAAAAGAGCATGCCAGATCCGCGCCCCCCCCCCGTGGCGCTGCCCGTCGGCTGGACGGCCGCGCGCGCCCCGGCCTGCGAGAACGGGTCCAGCACCACGTCGTCCGGCCTCGGGGGGCGGTGCCGATCCCTCCGCTTGTCTTCGTCCAAACTCTCGCCCTCGTCCTCCTCCTCCTCCTCGGAGGAGGAGGAGGGGGAGGAGGAGGAGGAGGAGCAGGAGGAGAAGGAGGGGGAGGACGATGGAAGAGGAGGTTACCAGAATTGATCGTTCCCCAAGAGGTGGCCGTCTGGGCCTCGGGAGGCGACCCGGGCCCCTCTGAAAGGCTGGGGCCTCGGGCCAGGGCCACCTGTGGCAACGCCCGAACTCTGAGGGGCAGATCCCCCCCGAGAAAGAGGTCCCGTGCAAAGAAACCCTAAACAACACACGAGAAACAGCCCCGTGAGTCAGGGAGGAGGAGGAGGAGGAGGAGGAGGAGGAGGAGGAGGAGGAGGAAGAGGAGGAGGAGGAGGAGGAAGGGGAGGAAGAGGAAGAGGAGGAGGAGGAGGAGCAGGAGGAGGAGGAGGAGGAG